AGCAATTCCACTTGTTGTTAATGGACTTCGAAACATACTTACTTTGCTTGTAGATCTTACATATAGTAAATATATATCAGAAATTCTTTTGACATAATCGAAAGTTCAAGCTTACTTTTATAAAATTGCTCTAACAGTCTGCAAAAAATAATAAGCCGAATCTAATTCGAAGATTAAGGAACAACGCAATCTGCAACATTAACTGAATTAGATAATTTTAGCTTAGCTTATACCGTCCGTTATACATTAAACGCACATTCGTAAACATATTTTGCGCACACGCATATTCGCAGCCGTAAAGGTCATACGCGCATGCGTCAACATTACGCATGCGCAGAAAGTTTGTAGCTTTGAGGTCCGGATTATGAGTGTAATTAATGACTTTTGACTGCAAAAATATTAACATAATTAAGTAGAAACTCTTAATAATATAACTATTTATAAGTATTAAAACATTTAGAAAATTAGGGAGAGCACATCATGCTATACTGGCACCTATATTTCATTAATTATAATATTTGTGCAAATAATTGTAAATATTTAAGTTAGGCATATTTTAAATCGTAGGAATAAAATGTATTAAATTAGATCAACTGGAGATATTATAAAAATAAAAAGTTGTATTGAGAAGTATATATATTTTTTTAAATTATTGAGTTAGATGAACAGTTATGATTTTAGCTGGAAAGTTAAACTATGCATCTTACATGATGTCAAGTGGCAACACTTTTTAGAACTGGCATTGTGTTAGGTTCGGATACGGTTATTGAAATGCCGAAGAAAACTATTGTTATAAATATTTGTTTACAAAACATAGCACATATCAATGTTTGTAAACAAAACATGATGTTGTTTATGTACTTTTGTTACTTTCTTTGTTTACCCTTATTGTGATCAACAGTTCAGTTAATGTGATCAAAATATTGATGAAAATTTTTTAATAAAAATTACTGAATATAGTCAGAATAATAGGTTATACTATTTGGTAAATGACAGACATATGTCGCTAAGTGAGGGATTAAGTTGCCGAACAGCTTGGTTTTCAATTTCAAACAATCACTCAAAACTAAGAAAAACAGTAACCAAAGTTTCATGCAAATTTTGAATAACTAGATTTTGAAGGCAGTTAGTCCTTTTTTTTCAAGAGCAAAAAAAATGTCATCAGAATTTCCACCCTCTTTTTCTTTACCCCATAGAAATAAAAATATCAATTAAGGCTGCTTTTTTTTTTTTTTTTTAATTTTTCATTGGCATATCTTCGTTCAGTGATTAATGACGAATGTCCTTCGAGTATTAATATTAGGAATCAGGCAAAGAATTTCCAAAAATATTATGAACCATTCATTAACAAGCTTTTGCATTAAAAGCATTAATAAGCAGATTTTTACATTTTCCTGATTAAAATAATCAGATAATTGTAGACACAGATTTGCACACCGGCTACAATTAGGATCACCCAAGTACAGCTGAAACTTCAGTATACATTCCAACATAATAAAAATAACAGGTGACAAACTCCACAATTCCACTACAATTTATTGTGACAAAAATTCACAAAAATAACCGAATTTTAAATTGCAAATCCATGAATACTTTTAACACACCTGTGCTACATGCATACTTGAGTTACAATATAAATGCTTTTGCCAATAGTTTTCAGCGTATTTTCGGTTGGGTTGTGGATAATAAAAACATAATACAGATTTTTTTTCTTCTTTTAAAGTAATTTGTATTTCTGTTTTGTATTTTTAAACATAGTTATGTATAATTTTTAGAAAATGTTACTGTCATTTAAAAATATTTCTTTTTGCTTGTGATTTAATTGGCTATTCTCTGCATTTCCAAATGTATTACAAAAATTACATAAACATTCAAAAATTAAGTATGCCATTTTGTGAAAAGGAATATTTATGTAATTTTAACAAAACATTTATTTTCTTTTCTAAAAACTTTTCTTTAGATGCCTGGACCAGCTGCTAATTTAGGATTAGACTTAACATTATATCAGTACCAGACATGTCCATTTTGCTGCAAAGTTCGAGCTTTTCTTGATTTTTATGGAATCCCTTATAATGTTATTGAAGTTAATCCTGTTATGCGTCAACAGCTAAAGTTTTCTAAATATAAAAAAGTGCCTATTCTTATAGCTCAAGAGAAAGGTTCAGAAGTTAAGGTATGATATTGCTGTAAAAATAAATCTATGGTTTAGTTTAAACTATTTATTAGAAATATATTTCAAAGTTTAAACAAATTTTTAAATTTGTTTTCTAAAAATTTTCCCAGGGTTTGTGAATAAAAATGTACTTATCTTGAATATGTATTAATTTAATATAATGTTCTTTCTTTTAAATAATATTTTGGTTATAAAAAGGCATAAAATAAAATTTCAAATTAAAGTAGTAAAATAATTTTTATTACTGATTCTATTTCCAGAATAAAGTAATTATTTTTGTGGCTTAATGTTATTATTTTAATTTTTTGAAGAACAAATGGTTGTTAAAATCAATAATATTCACTTCTTTATTTAGAAAAAATATTTATTGTACTACTTTTATTTTTATAATATTCAGATCAGAAGAAAGAATTCGCCTTTATTACAAAACTGATGAAGAAATTTAAAAAAGAAAAAACAAGATATGTGAGGAATATTGGGAATTTAAATTTCTGTTTGGCAACATATTTTGCACAAAATACTGAGCTATAGAACATACTTAAACTTTTAAAAACCAAACTACTACTATAAAGAAGAACAGCTAGGTCATGATGTAGTGATTCCAGCTCAAATAAATCTCCAAATATAATGAATGAAATATTTGGTTCCTTCTAGTTTCATATTGTTGCGTGCGTACGGGTTCGTTATGAAATGAATGCACAAGTCCGATGAAAAATGAACAAAAATTTATTATTATCACAACAAAAATGTTTAAATTTTCTCAAATTATCATGCAGTATTACAATATCTCACAGTAGTTATATTTTAATACTAATATCCAATAGAACGTAATTCAAAACAGCTAAAGAACGCTAATCCGCGAAATTCGCTACAATCAACAACAGTAGTTTTTAAACAACAACAAACTAAGCAAACTACAAACTGAGATGTTTTCCTCCTTTTTATAAGATTTTAAAATCACGCGCTAGAATTTTCCAGAGTACTTTCTCGAAATCAAAAAGAGATATTTATTATTTAATGCACGCGCTCTTGTATTTTCAATTTTCCGGCTTATTTCTTTTAATATTCGTCACGCGCTGCACTGCGCGAGAAATAAAACCATTTAATTTATAATTGAACTAACATTAGCTTTTTAAATACCAAATTCGTAACACTGCCCCCTTCCCAAGGACTGCACGTCCCGGGCAGTACAATCCCTGGACAGGAAGCTAAACTTACAACTGTGGCATAAATGCAACAACATAAGCATTACATTACAATATAAAAACAACATATGAACAATAAATGCAAAAATAACTTAAACAAATCAAATGCAAATACAAATCAAATACTAAATACAAATCAAATACTACATACAAATAAATCCAAAATAAACATTTAAAAAAAAAGGACCATGGTCTTATACTATTTACAATTATTTACATTATGTACTATGGCCATAGTAATGAAGCTAACCTGTCGTAAGCGTTCGAAGACTCACGGATCCGAACCACGACGTCATTCGGTGTTCAGCACTGTATATGGACCATCCGAAGGTGACTGTAATTAGGACTCAGTCCTTTTCGTGAATTGGGGTTCCACAACCAACTTGTCTCCTTTGTTGGAATCTCTGTCAGTAGCTCTTGTGTCGCATCTGGTCTTCATTTCTCCGTCGCCAAGTTTGACTCGCTTTCGTGCGGAACGGTGCATCCCCTCAAACCGGGCCTGGGCATCTTGGATGTGTTCCTCAGGCGATGAAGGTGCATCGTAGGGCGACTAAACAGGCGGTCACCAAGGCAGACGAAGGTCTCGACGAAGAGCTTCTGGGATGGAGAATAGCTGGTAGTCTTGAGTTTCTTTTCGACCCTGGTATGATTTCGGCAGCTTCCCGAGCTCGATCTTTCGGACAGGCGTCGACATTTCCAGGCGAGGATCCCTTTTGAGGATGGATAGTCATGCCATCAGATGCTGAAAGCAGTTATTGTTTTTGAAATCTAAGGAAAAATTGTATTTCCTTAAAAAGTCCAATCCGAGTATGCATGGATCTGTAAGATCGCCACATATGCCGTGTGATGTAGGCGGCACTTCCAAACGTGATGTTTACGTTTAACTTCCCAGTTATGTCGATCTTATCACAGACGCAGTCTGAAGGGTAACACAGGATGGGTCCAAATAAGTTTATCTTTAAACTGTTCAGCTAATCTTTCCTAATGATGGTAACATTAGCTCCTGGGTCAATGATCATTGCAAGGAACTCCATCGATATTCCCATTGATGGACAGTCCGTTACTGTTGCCACTATAGATAAATTTTTTAAGCGCTTTAAAACAAGGTTTTTCATTATCTGACAACCTCCGTCCTCGATATGGTCACTAATTTGTTTACTGCGTCGTTGCTGGGAAATGGTCTTATTTTCCGTACCTCTGGGGATGTTCTGCAATTCTTCGTATTCAGGCTTCACTCCGCAGTTCCAGCATTTAGAATTAGTTTCCGTGCTCACTAGTTCCGTTCAGCCAGGGATTGTCTGGTAAAATCATCTGGCTTTATATTCCGTACCCGTGGTGGGGTGTTCTGCAATCTGTCTTAGGTGACCCTTCACTACCACATCTCCAACACCTTAGAGCCACTTTCTTTCTCCTCTACTCCGTATCAAAGCGTCGACTTGTCTGGCTAAATCATCTAAACGAGCCATCAGTTGATCCACTGGCTCATGGACTCGCACAGCTATAACTGGGGGTAGCGATCTCTACTAGTTGCTGCTGGGCTGCCTCGAACTTCATGGCGTACAACAGAGCGCTTTTTATGTCCTTTACATCGCCATTCGAAGAGCTTTCTGTATTTCAGGATCCCGGATGCCGTCGATGAAAGTATTGCAGCAGCGACAGGATTTCCTCTGTTTCTGTCGGGCACTCCGAAAAGGCGAGGTGGGACAGCCTTTCAACATCCGTGGCGAGTTCCTGGAGTGATTCGGTGGGCTTCTGTTGACAAGATTTTAATTGGAGCCTGCTGTAGTCTTTTAAACACTTCTCCCCAAAGCGCAACTCCAAGGCGCCGGACAGAGCTTCGAAATCTAACCTTTTGTTTTCGGGAAGAGTCTGAAGGATATCCGCTGCGTCGGCTCTTAGAGAAGCGGCGAGATGACAGGCCTTAGCTTGGGAATCCCATCCATTCGCATCCGCCACGATAGAAAATTGTGTCTTATACACCTGCCAGGAGGTCTTCCCATCATATGTGGATAGCTTCAGAGGTGGACGAGCAGGCATTGGTAAGAATTTAAAAATCATCACTCCTGCTCCCTGCCGACGCTACGAATTTCTTTAAAGTATCCATTTCTTTGGCAACTGCCAGAAACTCTCTCATCAATTTGTTCTTTTACAGAAGAAACTCTTTCTTCTATTTCTTCTTTCACCGAAGAAACTCTTTTCTCAATATGTCCAACTTTATTTTCAACTGCGTCAATTCTGCCTTCCATAGCTTCAAATTTATTTTCTATTATGCAAGTAATTTCTCTTTTCATTTCTTCTTGACCAGCTTGAACGGCTTTCATTTCGTCCTTAACGGATTCCTGGCCAATTTCATTTCTTCCTTAAATGATGCTTGGCCAATTCCATCTTTTCTTGGAATGCAGCAAAAGCACTAATGAGCTGTCTCAATTGTCTTCCATCGCTCTTGTTATTAGCATTCAAACCCCACTCCTGACACCAAAAATTGTTGCGTGCGTACGGGTTCGTTATGAAATGAATGCACAAGTCCGATGAAAAATGAACAAAAATTTATTATTATCACAACAAAAATGCTTAAATTTTCAAATTATCATGCAGTATTACAATATCTCACAGTAGTTATCTTTTAACTACTCAAAATCCAATAGAACGTAATTCAAAACAGCTAAAGAACGCAATCCGCGAATTCGCTACAATCAACAACAGTAGTTTCTAAACAACAACAAACTAAGCAACTACTACAAACTGAGATGTTTTCCTCCTTTTTATAAGATTTTAAAATCACGCGCTAGAATTTTCCAGTACTTTCTCGAAATCAAAAAGAGATATTTATTTATTTAATGCGCGCGCTCTTGTATTTTCAATTTTCCGGCTTAGCTTTCTTTTAACATTCGTCACGCGCTGCACTGCGCGAGAAATAAAACCATTTAATTTATAATTGAACTAACATTAGCTTTTTAAATACCAAATTCGTAACAATATTTATATGGCTACACTGATCTAAAAATTTGATATAATGAGCTTTACCTACCTTCAGTTGAAAATTTCTTTGCATTTTCTTAATTTTTCTAGAATTCTGTTAAGTTCTGATTCAAGAATTACCATTTTTTAAATTCATCCCTGTCCAGGCTGCCATACTATTAATGAGTACTTTTAACAGGGTGCCAATCATCTAACATGCACGAAATGAAATAGCTTGTATATATTGTGCCATAAATTAAAGAACAGCAGGATTTTTGATTTTTTGGTACTTTTCCGTTTTGAGGACCGTAAAAGAATGCAGCAAAAATGTATGCACAAAAGCACCAAATCTAAGAAATGCGCCCATTTAACAGTGTGCCAAATCTAGCATACGTGCTGATTTCTGATTGCGTAAGTTTATATAAGTTTATGTAGTTCTATATTTCTTAAGACGCCATTGAAATACTAGTTTAATTTTTAAATCCTTTTTTGATATCCTATGGATTTAACAATTTGGGAATTGCCCATGAAGAAAAGTCTGCAGTAGAATTTTGGTTAAAGTGCAGAATGACCTACTGCTTGATGCATTTTTAAGAATTGCACATACTCGGTATCCAGGTACACATCGACCTATTTTCACTTAAAAAAGAATCCCAGAATTGCATAAAAATACTGCGTGCACCCTTGACTTTATCTATGTACATATCAACCTATTTTTACTTAAAAGGTAAAAGAAAATAGACAAAAATCCAATTGTTTTTACTGTCGTAAAAAGCGGCAAACAAATAAGTGGGCAATTCTGCACTTTACCGAGAATTTTTTCATAAAAAATTTCATAGAAAAGGCATCATTCATTATAGAAAATTATGTTTGAACAACCAACGAGATGAAATTATGATTCAGTTATGTTAAGCAATTTTATATAAATTATAATAATGATCTGAAATAGTTATTTACTCTTATGCTTCTATTCAGTCATGTTTAGCCTTTTTTATATAAATTATAATAATAAAAAGTATTATATGAAATTAACTTTTCATCTAAATTAAAACATCAATCTTAGATAGTTATTTACTATTATACTTCCTTTCTTGCGTTAGGATTGCCGCATTTATTTTTGACAGCACTGGCATCAACAATAGTTTGGCAATTTTTTACGGCCCTCAAAACTGAATAGTACGAATTTTTTTTTAATCTGCTTTTTCAACACTTTTCATTTATGGTTCATTCATGCTTTTTTTTTTTTAGTGAACAGGATTGTTTTCTTTTTATCACCATAAACAATCTGCAACATCTCATGAATTTCCTGAGTTCCTCTAGTTTCACTAAAAATTTGTTATTGATTTCTCACTGTTTATCAATCTTCATTATTGAAAGAATAAACAAAAAATGTGAAAAAACTTACGTGTAACTGTGTGCTTGTGTTGACAGCTAGATGGTTATCGATATTCCATTGACTTTGCTGCGAACTGAGCAGCCATTGCATGGGTAGTAACCTCAGAATGACCCTAGTCATTCAATTTGTATATTTATGGGATAGACTACATATACAGTCAAAAGTCAAAATGAACTATAATCCAGACCTCAAAGCTAAAAATTTCTGCACATGCGCCGTAAGACCTCTTACAACTGCGCATTTGCATGTGCGCAAGCGCAGAATACGTTTTCGCGTGCGCGTTTTATGTATAACGGACGGTATAAGCTAAAATTATCTAATTATCTATTTCAGTTAATGTTGATGATTGCGTTGTTCCTTAATTTTCGAATTGGATCCGGCTTATTATTTTTTGCAGACTGTAAGAGCAATACTATAAACTTGAACTTGAGTAAAGTATAAGTAAACTTGAACTTTCGATTATGTCAAATAGAATTTCCGATTCTGGAGCTCCCAAAGGATCGTACAAAACGAAAGTATGTTTCGATGTCCATCAAACAAAAAGTGGAATTGCTGCAAAAAATGGATAAAGACATGAAGAATGTGACAGAGATGTTAACGAAAAAATTTCGATTGACGAGTTAGTCAATATTCTCGGCACAGCAATTAATGGCACTTGAACAGCGAAACTTTGTAACTGAACAAAAAATTATGTCTGTTTATAGAATTAAAGAGAAAGTATTATCACATAAAATGAAGCAACTTAAATAACTTACATTGAAAGAAATGTTTAATAAAGTAAACAAATAAATATTAAGCTTTTTTTTGTAAATTTTGGTACCCTTTAGATCATAATTGTTCTTTATTTCGTAAATTACAGTTTCATATTTTTAATTTTAGAATTTCTGCATGCCATCATATGCAATTTAAACTGATGATCTATAATCCGGAAAAATCGATAATCCGGAATAGCCGAAGTCCGGACCGGATTAACGACTTTTGACTGTATATTGTTTATTTGACTCGACAATAGTATTGTGTGTACAAATTGAGATATCATAATTTTTATCCATGACAAATATTTGGAGAAGAGGGAGAAATTGGGAAAGGCCAACCTTAAGGTTGTTTAAGAATAATTTCAAAATAGTTTATTTACCATTCTCAGAAATTACTGTCAGCCTGCTTTTTGGCTGATGTGTTGAACAGTGCTGCTTCTTAGATGGTCTAGTGGTTAGTGATGCTTACTGACAAGCCGAAGGGCCTGGATTCAAATCCCACAGAGGGCATGGATATTAGTAAGCGTAGGGTATCTGTGCAGCAAGGACAGGCTCAAAACACATAGTGAGGTAAAATCCTCTCAAGAGGGTGGTAGAGGAGGAGGGTTGACAGACCTTCAGACCACTGCTTGGGCATTCTTTTCCAGAATTCCATCTGAGGCAGAAACTTAGCAGTTAATCAGGTACAATTATATCTAATATGTCTACATGGATACATAGGTGCGAGCCTTGCTTCAGCTTACACCTGTTAAACGGTTGTTGATGAAAGTTGCCAAGCTATTTGGAAAGATTGCAAATTTTTGCTGTAATGGCTTGCTGGCTGAACAGGTGTAAAAAATGGAAATTCTCAAGAAGAAAATGCCAGGGTATCAAGAAATGACTGAACATCTGATATCAAGGATGTGAAAAAAAGTATTGTAATGAAATATTTTCAGAGCCATTAAAATTACTAATTCACACTAAATATTAAATGCCACACTAAATATTAAAATTTGAAATAAGGGTATTACCGTGCATGTCTAGATGGATCACTGGTAGAAAACTGTTAAAAATGTGAAAACACTTCTATGTACAAACATGAACAAAACTGAATGTGATACAGAAAAGTTTAGAAGCAAAACTTCTTAAAAGTGTGGAAGTTTACCTATTTCCTATGAAACCAACTGTATGCCATAGGTGATGTAAGGAAAACCACAAATGTGGGATGAAAAACTTTCAGCCAAAATGTAAAGAATTCTATTCATGGTTGATAACTGTACTTCTCACAAAGATGGTGAAAACTTACAATGATTATTTTTCTACCCCATTGTAATTTCTGTCATGCATCTATGGACCGAGGAATGATCATGATCTTAAAGGATCATTACAGCTTAACAATTCATTATATTTTGGAGGGTATATTATAAAAAAGTGAATTGTAATGTTTCTTTTCTTGATGCAGAACTAATGTTAGAAACATCCTAGTATCTTGTAGAATTCACCATTCAAATTGTATTTAACCCACTGGTCTGGTTTGAGTTTTTGAATCATGCAGTTTCAATTAAGATGACCATATGCATGGTGTTGGAACTGATATAGAACTTTTCTCATGGAATTTTCCTCTCACTGCAAAATGATAAATTTGGAAACCTACTATGAAGTTGTAAAAAATTTACATTGAATTATTCAAATCAAAAAACAAAATGCTTACTTAAGTTGTAATACTGCTTCATGATGATACTAAGCTATATATAATTGGTCAAACATAAATCCGTTTTGGCTGGAAGCAAATGACTGAACATAGAACCCAGATTTAGCACCAAATGAAATTCATCTTTTCCTGCATTTGATGTAGCTTGCTGGACAGCAGTTTGAAAGCAATGAAGCAAAAATATAAAATGTAGCATTGGCTGCATGGACAAGTGGATATGGACGAAAGGAGGACATCAATAATATTGCTGCTTTACCAAGAATAATTATAGTATAGAAAAATAAATTAAAAAATTGAACATAAAAGTAATCAATACTTTAAAAAACTTCATTCTATGTTTTCCCCTTAAATGGAACATATTTTTCAGATTTTAATATTTATTTATAAATTTGAAGATAAAGTAAAATTGTTAACTGCTGGAGTTTAAAAGACTTATTTATTATTCACACAAATTTAAAAAAAAAAAAATTAAAATTAAAAAAAAAAAAAAAAAAGACTAAATTATCACTAAAAGCAGATTTTCTCATATCAAAAGATTTTGAATATTTTAGATATTTATTATAATGTAATCAAAATAAAATAAATTTTACTATTTAAGTCTTTTAAAAGAATTAGTTGGAGCGTTATATGTTTTTCTAATTTAATTCTGTAATTTTATTTTCAGCATCAATTAAATGACTCATCTGTCATAGTTAGCATATTGGGGACATTACTGCTTGATATAAATTCTGGCCTCAGCAAAGTTTTACCATATTATGCTCCATTAGTTTATAAAGATGATGATGGTAAAGAAATAACAGATGTATTGAATAAATATTCTCTCATGTATGGTGATAAGACTCCAAAAGATAAATCTGATGACTATTTTAAGTAAGAGTTTAAATAAAAGATCTTTTATGATTTTGCAGCTATGTATGTATATTATATTTCTTTCATTATAATATGCCAACAATTTTAAGACATACACCTTAATAACAATTGTAACAGATTGAAAATTTTCCTGTGAAAATCAAGTAAACTAGATGAAATTCTAGAACATGTGTTAAGTATTTTTTATGATAAAAGGATTTAACTTAATTTCAATAATATTGCTCTTCATTAATAGGTAGAGTGAGTCAAAAAATAGAAGACATTTCTGCATCTCCCACCATACTGGGTCGATTGACGAAATTGAATCAGATGTAAAAAGAGGGCTGTCTGACAAAAGTCAAATTTTACAGGAACAAAAAACTGTCCCATTCATCATAAGGAGGTCAAAAGATGTTTAAAAAGTGCTGAATAACATGGAACACGCTGAATTACAATTACATGGATCCTAGTTATATTGATCTCATAATATTTTATTCTTGATTTTTGACATTCTTGCGAAGAATGGAGTAAGAGCTTTGCTGCTTCTGTAAAATTTGACTTTTGTCACATAGCCCATTTGTACATCTTCCAATTAAATTCAACTTGAATTTTACATGTCTCAAAAGTGGAACTTGGGATATGTATTAGATTTATATACAGCATTATTCTAGCATAGGTATTTGGGCACAAAGTCAGCCTCCTTCTTAAATGACTTACCTATTGTTTTTTCCATATTTTGATCCTGCGCCTCAAATTATGCCAGAGTGCCAAGTTTTATAAAAATCATCCAAGTAGTTTTTAAAAAATTAGGTTTCAAAATTTTAGTTCCCCAGTGTTAATTGAATTTGGTATATATTTATTAATTTCTCTTTTTTTCCCATTAAACTTACTTGGTTTCTTCATTTAGAATTTGAAAATTAGGTTCAATCCAAATAAATCATTTTTTATGATTTATTTGTAAATGGTTTTTATATATTTTTCAAAAAAAATTTGATTTATAACCTATAAAATTTTTACCATCGTCTTAAAGTAGATATATTTCTAGGCATACCTGTGGAAAATTAAAAGATTTTTATTCAAAATTTTCCAAGGAATAATTAAATTTATATATTGGCACATTTGAAAATTTACCATATTTGTTAAAAATAACACCACCAAATGTGTTTTACACATTTTGGTATAATCTTCAATGAACTGCAATACTTTATTTTGAACTTTAAATTTCCAAGTAAACTTATACCAAAGGTTATTCATGGGGAATTCATTTCAATTTTTATTAATAATGCCTACTAAATATTTATTAAAAATATGTAGAAAGCTGCTTCTTAAATTTATAAAGAATGTTAATTAAAAGTTTTATTTTATTTATTCTCCCCCATTTGAGTAAATTTTTACCTTCACCATTTTATTGTCTACCATTTTACTTAACTTCATTCTAAATGCAACGAAATTAATTTTGCTGATTTCAGATTAAAATATTCAGTACTTCTAAGTTTTATCTTGTTTCAAAAAGTATGTTTGAAAGGGTAAAAATTTTTCTTAAGTAAACGTAACACAAAAAAAAAAAAAAAAATTAGTAATAAAATAAATAATGATTGTTGTTACATTTATTTTCACTTTGTTATAATTTCTGTTACATTTTCTATTGTAATAGAATTTATTAAAATTCTTCATGTAAAATTATTTCAAAAATTTAAAAGTTTCTCCTTCTCTATGGACATACTGCTAATTTTATATCAATTAAAAATCTAATGTGTACACCACATGACTTCCTTGTATGGAATATTAAATTATACACATTTTTTTCTTCAATTTCATTTAAATTGATTGGATTGAATTAAATGTACTTCGTCGACAGCACATAAACCACAATAGAATAAATGCACTCTTTAAAATTCACTATATTTGTTTACTATAACGTCACTCTGAATGCACAAAATTTATATCATTTGAAGAATTATTGTTGCCACATGTTCTATTCAAATACTATAATAAAGCTAAAACGATGTATGAAAGAAATTAAGCAAATAAAACAGAAAACAGTTTTTCACAGATGATTTAGTATTTCTCTTTCAATTAATTCAGTTCTCACTTCGCGACAAGGCAAAAATACATAAAAACTCAAAATATCTGTATTAAAAATTACGAAGTAAATCTTAAACACTTATTTCCTCGAAAAAATTCCAGAAAAGATTAAGCAGGATTTAATTCGCAATAATAAATGAAGGCGTTATTTTTGTTGTTGCGAAGCTTAGTCTCTCTAGATTGGCAACAAATCTACAATTCTGCTGTTTCAAATGTAAACAAATATGTCCGCCATGTCATTTAAAACTTAAACCACACTTAAACAGCTTTTAAATTAAGACACAATAACATGCCGAATAAATACTAATTCAGAAGTCGAACAACAAAAATCAGCGTTATATTCACAAAATTTTCACAGGACTAGTTTCGATGGTTTTACCGAACCATCATCTTCAGCTGCAAAACCGCAAATGAACAAGATAGGAAAATAATGATTAGATAAGATAAGAAAGCCTGGACAAGAATAAGCAAGTGGCGCCATCTGTTGGCGAAACCAGAACTAAAACATAATTTCTCTGAAAGCCGAAGGCAAATTTAGATTGGAATTAGGATCGTTAACTAGAACAGAAAGATTTTTATGAATGTGAAATGCCTCTAGAAAATCCAGTTCTCCAATGGAAGATGTCCAATGGAAGCTTTTAAATTGTTGATAATTGTACAAATATTGCTTCCAGAATTACGAAAGGCATAAAAACCTTAACCAGAAGATAAGAACAACATAATTCAATCATTTTTAAGCAAAAAATGTACAATTTACAAACATATAAGAGTAAACAAACTGAGATCACTGTGGCGAGTAAAAGAGTGGATATATATATAAAAATAGTATTTATATACGTTTGGTGCGGCCGATTGCAACCAAAATACGAGGTGCACATCTACATGTTATAGCAGTCCTATATACAAAATTTCAACGTTCTGAGGCTACTCATTTTCGAGTTATGCGAGATACATACGTACGTACGTACGTGATATCTATATGTAAGGACAGAATAAAAGACTCATTTCCTCCAAAAAAATTATAAAACTGCTTTAAAATTAATTCTGAAGAGTATTTTTCGTGGCCTCTGTACGAATGTATGTATGTACGTACGTAAAATTCTCTTCAGAATTAATTTTAAAGCAGTTTTATAATTTTTTTGGAGGAAACGAGTCTTTTATTCTGTCCTTACGTACAGATATCACGCAAAACCATCGTTTTGCATTCGATAGCAGTCAAAATGGATATTTTCGTTGAAATATGCTGTCTGAAACTTTTCGCGATTACAATACTTCCTTTTTACTTCGTACATGGAAGTAAAAATTAGCACCTGAACTTCTACTTTTCTGGTCAATTCGGCCGATGAGTACAAATTAAGTGAGTGACATTGACAGTTCAACCATTGGCACTCTGTCTATTATATTCCTCCCAACTGGATAACTACACAAGTTTTTCTTAGTTTAGAAATTGTGCATGAATTATGCTCTAATTATCACACGTAAACAAGCTGTGGACTGCAGGATACGTTTTTGTGTTTCCGAAGAGAGACCCCTATCCCATAGATCAAAAATGCTGTGATATGCCTGGTATTAAAATTTCTATATGCAAAATAAGCAACATGACTAATTGGAAAGGGAAAAACAGTCACTCATTCCTTCTACATTGAAGGAAGACTCCAAGTAAACACTCAGGAAAGGTAAATACTGTTTCTAAAGTTAAATTGTTGGAAACAAAAGTAAATCTGCCAATACAGAAATCAATTACAAAGTCTTGAAATACATCTATAGCAACAATAAGTAGAATAATAAGCCAAGATTTATAACTTATTATTCTACTTATTGTTGCTATTACACTAAAAACAATGTTCAGCAGCTTTTGCAGAGGCATGTGGCTCAACGCAGAACAATTTGTAGAATCATGTAAGGAAAACTATTTAACTGGATTTAAATGGAAATACATTGTGATCCTTGATGAAGCTAAATGATTGCAACTAAAAAAGGTCTATTTATTATTGAAAATAAAAAGAAAAAATGGAAAAACTTGGTTCCTTCAATGCAAAGAAAATTTTGGTAAGGGGTTTATGATTGTTGCAGGATTCTCTTACTATAGGAAATTACAAATACGAAGAGTGAAAACAAACATTAGAATCGACTCAATGGACTACCATGAGAAAGTTTTACATCTGATATTTACAGAAGAAATTCCATTTCTTTTTCTACATAACTATCAAAGGGTAAAACTTTATCAAGACAAAACAACGACTCATACTTTGAAAAGTACCACTGCATTCTTTGAAAATAGGAAGCTTCATATAGGTATTACTTATATACCTTTTAAGTGTATTCCTACAAAGTCCCATTTTATTTTACCTATGGACTGTTGTGCCTCTGGTTTCTTGAAGCTCTTTCTAAATTCAAACTCACCATGATTGATGGATTCTGGAAAGTAATGGAAGAGAAATGAAAACCACTAGAAACTTTGCAAAAAGCTCTTCTATCATGGAGGTTATGATGCAGACTTACAGTCCAGGAAAAAGGTTATCAGGTCAAAAGCTAAAAATAATGTGCTTTAGATTTTAAACATTAATTAAATGGCCCCGAAGTCATTCTTAAAATGTGCAAACACCCTCTATAAAATTATGTGAATGACTGATAAAATTAGTGTAATAAAAAGCAATAATTTTTTATATTATAAAAATTATTAAATATTTTTATGAAATTATACTAGCTGGACCCAACAAAATTACAGTAGTTGGACTCACTGAAATCTTTATATATTTTTTTTTTCTTTTTAATAATAAAGTAGATAAAAGTAGTCTTCCAAAGTAGATAGTTTTTTTTTTTTTTTTTCCATTTTTTATTCGTTTTGCATTCTTTAAACTTATTTCTAAATGTGAATTAATTTTGAATTATTTTGTGTTTAGAATTACAGTAGCTAAATACATTCATCATTTTTCTGTCTGTTTCAAAACATATGATTTCAGTAATGAATTTTTGGCTAACTGTTGTTAGGCATATTTATTGTATTATAATGTTGTAATTTTTTGGTAGTTTTATATTAATTTTTTATGTTGTTTTATTGCTAGGAAAGAAAAAGAATGGAGAAAATGGGCAGATGATGAATTTGTACATATTTTATCTCCGAATATTTATCGCACTTATGATGAGGCTTTGCAAGCATTTAATTATTTTTCAGAAGTTGGAGAGTGGGAGAAAAATTTTTCTACTTTAGAAAGGCTTGTGGTTATCTACGTTGGAGCAACTGCAATGTATTTTATTGGAAAAAGACTTAAAAAGAAGTAAGATATATTTTTATAGTAACTGTGTATTTGAATAGTTAAAAACTATTCCATGTTTTTTTTTTTTTTTTTTTTTTTTTTTTTAATTATAATAAAATCTTTTCTGTAATAAATTTTTGGTTTACAAGAATTTTGAAAGAAGTCATTTGGGAAATTTATAATGACATACTTTTGTATTAAAATTAATATATCTAATTATTTATGAATCATTTTGTGTAGACTTTATGCATATTCTATTGTGTTATTGGTTGCTAAAACATCTGCAATGTACCTGGTATTATTATTTATTTAGATTTGTGCTAGATTTTTATAGAATTTTTTAAAAAATACTTGTTGGTTATCAGGTATTCACAGATACATTGCAAATAACCAGTTGGTGCCTCTTGGTGATGAATTATGAATTTTTTATTTCATGGATTCTGATAATTTCAAATATGAGTGATGATGAGCTTTTCTACTTTAGTGATTCCTACACACTTTTAATTGCTGTTATGGGGACACAAACAATTGACACTGAAGCAATATTAATAACAAAAAGGCCATTCTTCACTCTCTTTTAGGGAAGGGAAGAAATTTTTAAGAATTCAAAATCTCATCTTTGTTGGAAAAATCCCTATTAGCTTCTAGCACTGCTCACAAAAGTCAGACCAGCAGATGGGTTTTTTTGGTGATGTGGTGGTAGTTATCAGAAAACCAACAAGTAAAGACTTTTTTTTTAACATAAGACTAATTTTAATGAATGTTTTGGATTAGATATTTCTATATGGAAAATTAAGCCTGTGCTAGAGCATATTCACATAATTTTAGTTATTAGCAGTCCTGTTGGGAAGTACTGTGACAATTTTGCTAAAGAGATAGCAGCTATAACATATGCAATTGATAAATAAAAAAAATTGCCTAAATCAAAATAGTGTGTTTTTCATTGATTCACAAGCTGCTATTTTGTCACTTACCATTTCTAACTATAATGAAAATGCCAAGGTTAATGCTTGTAAAATGAAACTTTTTGAGCTGAGAGAAAAACAGAAAGAGCATTGCCCTTCAGTGGATTCCGAGCCATTGTGATATTTTTTGAAATGAGCAGGCATGCAGACTTGCCAAGGCTGGATCCTTTATGGCCCAACTTGATTCCCCTTTGCCTTTGTGTAATATTAAAAGAATTATATATAATAAAATGAAAAATAAGAGAATATCCATATATGTTGTTGCAGCAGTGGATAAGAAATTGAATATCCAGTTCAACAAAGAAAAAAAATTCCCAGTTCCTTATTGCAGGCTGTTGGAGTTGCTTGCTTTTGTTTGACAACTGGCCATGATTATTTACAGCAACATTTACATTGGATTGGAGTTAACGATTCAGCTTATTGCCCTCTGTATCATCGGGGTTATATGAATGGTGACCATCTCAAGAACTGCCCTCTTATTTTAAAGTTTATTACAGACAATTCTATCAAGGCTAATTTTTATCCTTACTTTTTACACTCTCATCATTGAGTTGCTCTTTGACTAATGGTGAAATTGCGAAGACATGCGCTGGATGAAAAAAATAATGGAAAATTAATGTTTGAATATGACGTAATGCTGATATTTAACTAGTGCAGACATTAGGGGAAAGTATTTTTGCTGTAGTAAATTAAACTCAAAAAGGATGCAACAGTTTACATAATTAATATATTTTAAAGACAGTGAATTTAATTTCTCCCCCCTTATGATACACGAGAAATTATGTATACAAACTAGTATTTTTCAAGCATTTCGCATAGGTTTTATTGGGATTATATTGGCTTTCAACTACGCTGTACTTATTTACATTTCCAAATTTTAAGTAAAATTGAAATAGAAAAATGTTTCTATTTTATATTATCATTATTAAATTTTTGAGTATAAATTGAAATTTTCAACATTGAATAATAATAATATATTTCAATTTAGTGGTGTTTTATATTCAGTAATAATTTAAAATAATAGTTTTTCTTTGATTGTGAGAATAAAAATTTTAATAATTGCACTGATAATTTTATTTATTTTTAATAACATTTTTGCAGATATGCATTAAAAGATGATGTTCGACAATCTCTGTATGACGCTTGCAAAGCGTGGTTAAAAGGAATTGGACAAAAGAAAAAGTTTCAAGGTGGAGACATGCCAAACCTTGCTGATCTGGTAAGAAAGAACATAAGAAACCCAGAAATTTTGATTACATAAGGAAGAAAGAAAAAAAAAAATTAGTGTATTATCCGAATGTATTATATGGTTTCATTCGTGTATGCCTTTTATATCTTACAAACATTATATGTGGACAGGTATGTTTTTAAGACACAATAACACGGCAAACAAATACTAATTCAGAAGTCAAACAAAAAAAATCAGCATTATATTTTCTAAATTTTCATAGGACTAGTTTGGATGGTTTTACTAAACCACCATCCTCAGCTGCAAACCCCCCCCCCCGAAAAAAAAAGACCATAAGAAACCCAGAAATTGTGATTATATAATTAAGAAAGATTCCCTCCCTCCCCCCCCCCAGTTTTGCAGCTGAGGATGGTGGTCGGTTAAACCATCGAAACTAGTCCTGCAGGAATTAGGTATGTTGTTGTTGTTGTCTTGTCCATGTTATATGGAACAATGATTGCCAGAGCCTACTCCGAAGAGAAGTTGCACTTCTAGTTTCCACCCCCAATTTTGAGGAAAAGTGTCCGGGGGGGGTCGGGGGCCTCCCACCCCTCTCCTCTCTCACCAATCCACACGAGATGACTTTTGGCTCGTCGCATATTTAGAGTGCTGCCATGCCGCACCGACACTATACATTTAGAAAAATCCATGTCTTACCCGGGATTCGAACCCGGGCTCTTCGTTACCATAGTAGGCTCCCCTAACCACTATACCATGTGGGCAGGTATATATATATGTGTGTGTGTGTGTGTGTGTGTGTATGAAGATACTAAAAGCTTATTCTAGTTCTGTCACACTTGTGGGGATACTGATACAGAGAAGTTAAGGTGTTTTATTATGTTTTAAGGAATTTATTTATAGATGACAGTATTTTTTAAAAATTATTTATTGTTATCACAGTATATTTACCAAAATGGTAAAATATTAAACACTTGATGTTATTTTTTAATTTGGATTGATTTTTCTTTTTTTTTTTTTTTTTTTTTTTTTTTTCTTTTTTTTTTTTTTTTTTTTTTTTTTTTTTTTTTTTTTTTTTGTGGTAAAATTAGATCAGGTGTAGAATTCCAGAAGTTTTGGATTTGCTGTGTGGATATGATGCATGTAGTTGCATTACTTTTTATATTTATGTCCTTTTAATTGGAACTGAAAAAACAAATGCTTGAATAAGTTGTTTAGGTACATATCAGAAATAACTAAGAGACTGATATCTAGCAAACATGATAATCATTTTATGATCTTGACGTCAGAAGAATGTGTGTTTGATCTTGTTTAGGCTGCTGTGAACTTAACTCAAAGCTTTATGATTTGGTGATCTTCATAATATGAATTGAGTAAGATATTTTTCCCCCCTTGTCTCAATCTAGCATAATAAGATTCAAAAGTTCTGAAAGAAATAAGATTCAAAACTGAGTCCATAGAGTTATAATGCTGGTACATATTAATTATCAAAATATACCTTTTATAAATGGTCCATCAGCTGCCAAGTGGTGAAGTCACTGAATACTGGTAGTTTGGTCCGAGGTTCAAATCCCATGAATGGGCTGGCTGCATGGCCATTTTCATGGTTTCTACATGTGTAACTTGTATACAAGCCAGTTTCCCTTAGAATGCCCTCAATGAAAGGCATCCCTCCTTTTAAACAGATAGCCTTTGAGTCCTTTGCCATAATCAAATAAATCAAAGCTTTCATAACTAACTGCATGCTAGTGCTTATAAAGGAATTGGGACAGACAGAATCTTTTCTTCAAGGTACACTTCTACTCAGTGTCTTTGAAGAATATACGGAAGTTTCCTTTGAGATACCTGTGTGTTCAAATAGCATTAAAATTTTTAAATTGACCAGAAAAACCTGAGAGCAGAATCATTATTACACCATAGCACTTACAACTTTACAATTTATCCTTGATATTCAAGATAAATATAGCAAGAAGCAACTTTAACATAATCTTAAATTAGTTGTGCATAATGTCTAATTTCTAATAGCATGGGTAATTATCCAGTTATCACTTAGTTGATGCTCATTTGTTGTGTAGGTCTCCCATAATTAAGTGATTAAAGGTATATTAAGATAATGGCTGTGAGATACCTGCCATTTCCATGCAAAGAATTAGAGATCTTCAGTCAACGTGCATAGTACAATGCTTGATGCATATTCATACCCTGTATCTGTATTCATAGGCATGTGGTCTTATTGTCAACTTATTATATCTTTACAGTGGTAACTACTTTTTGAATCATTTATTATCTTTTGGCTCATATGATCACAGAGTTCTTTTTAAATATACCTTATCACTAGTCGGGCAGTGTGTTTTTTGCCTTCAATAACTGTGGAATTGCTAAAATTATGTGACATTTAAATGGTTTCAAGAGCATAAGTTTCAGCATAAGTCTGCTTCAACATTTTGCAGATTTCTTTTAAAAATTATGTCCAAATGTGCACAGAAGTTAGTATTCAAATATTGCTCAATGAACACCATTTTCCATACAATGCCAAGCATAAAATACCAGGCTCAGAATACCTAGATCAGTGGTATTCAAATTTTATGGCAGTGTGACCATAAAAAGTTGCAAATGACTGCCACCTCGTCAGAGCATCAACTCTTATTTACATATCAAATACTTTAGGATTTTCACCTTGTGACCCTACTGTAAATTTTCACAACCCATTAATTTGAATACCACTGACCTGAATGTATGAGAAGAACAATGTACAGTACAGGTAAATCCAGCTTCTGTGCATTCTTTGTCTCACATAATAGGTGTATATTATGTGTTCATAGGCCTTGCTAACTGTAAAACTTCCATCCCAGTTTTGAGAAAGAATATCCAGGGGGAAGGAGGACATTGTTACATAACTAGATGAAACTGCCTCTCAGCATATTAAGTCATAATTCAGTTCAGAAATCACAGGGAATTAGTTACAAATGTACATTCTTGTGCTTTTCTAGTTATAGAATTTTTTAATTCTACAAGATATGTGAGGTAGTATATTTAGGGCCATTGATTATATTTTTTCTGTTGTGTATTTCCTGGTGATTTCCAATTAATTAAGTACATATTATAATCCTCTTACAGGGTTGCTACGCTACCTTGGACAACCGGAAAAAGTCAGGGAATTCAAAAATTGACAAAAAAAGTCAGGGAATTTAAATATTTTAGTCAAAATTTGGAAAAGTCAGGGTATTTCATACTGTGATTCCCCAAAATGCGATTTTCATGCCAACGTCACAAGTGATCTTTTTCTTGGCGAATCATGTATCATGTGAGCATCAATCAAACAGCTGGCATAGAGCCAAATTTTGCAGCACCATCCAGATTGTCTTTTAGAAAGGCAAAGCAAGTTTCCAGTAACCTCGAGAATCCAGAGATTTGCATGTGCAGTGCATGTCGAATGAAAGTAAATTCCCCCATTCTCCTATAAAACAAAATTTTTTAAACCTTTTTTCCTTTCTTGCTTTATTTGCCATTTTGCAGTAAAAAATAAATAAATAAAAAATGAAAAAAACTGAAATGTTTCAGATTTTAAATTACGTCCAAAGGGGCGTTTTTTTTTAACATTTTGTAAGTTATCTTTATTTATTAAATATCATGTTCTTTGCACTTAAACCATAAAATTCAGTTCAACATCAGTGTCACAAAATAATTTTAAAATGAGCATATCTTTAGAATTTTTGATACACAGATCAGCGCGCTGGAGATAAAAAGGGTTTTTTTCCCGTAGAGTTTTGCCATTTCTTGCTTTTACTGTCGAGTTTGTTAATCAGAAATTCGTTAAAGTTTTACAAAATATAAAATCGATAATAAAAAAATTCTAAATTTCAAAATTGGATGGCTCTAGGTATCATTGTTTTATTACAATGTGAAAAACATACACACATTTATGCATATTTTTCATTATTTAATTTCTTCAAATATAATGTAGGACTGTAGCATTTGGTGGCAACAATTTCAAAAGTAATATGCCGTTTATAGTGATTCTACGTAAAATCACAAAACTAAAACAATAGCTCTTCAGGGACAAATCCCCTTTGGACTAAAAAAAAAAAAAAAAAAAAAAAAAAAAAAAAAAAAAAAAAAAAATCAGTCATTTAGGCTAACCATTTAATATATCTATATTCACCAAAATACCGTCAATTTTTGTAAGGTAGAAAGAAGATACTGACAAAACTAATTTTGGCAAATCATCATCTTTATTTTCAGACACATCAGAATCATTTCTTAGCATAGATAATACACCTTTTGATCATAAGCAATCACAATAATTTTCATATACTCAAGCAAAAAGATATGATGCCATCTCAGACAAGTAAGCGTAGCAGTGTAGCGATGTTTGCATGGCAGAAGTTAGGAAAAGGAATGATGTAATTGCTCGTGAAGCAGTATTTATACTACGTAGGTACATATTTACAGCTAAATTGATCTGGTCATGTCTGTCTGAATTCAAAAAGCTGTTTTAATTACAAATAGAGGATTAAGTCATATTATGAAATCATGGGTCAGCATTTAGTTGCCTTGCCCATTCTGATTATTTATGTACATTTAAAAGATATCAATATATCATTTATATAAACTTTTTTAATTACTTTATTACAAACTGATGTCAACTTTGATATATGCATAAACTATTTTTAATTTAGAAAGGTCTTTTATTGTGAAGCTGAAATTTTGTGTCATTTAATGAAAATTTTAATTAAAATTCTGTTATCTATTATTTATTTATTTATTTTATAGGCTGTGTATGGTTTACTTAGTTCTATAGAAGGTTGTACAGCATTTCAAGATCTTCTGGATAATACGAAGATTGGTCCTTGGTACTACAATGTAAAAGAAGCTGTTTCTAGTCATTCTGGATATCAGCTATTGCGATAGTATCTTCAATTCAACTTAGAGTAATTTTTTCACATTAATGAAACCACTTCATAGCAGATTAGGATTTCAAATATTTAGATCTGCAGATATTTATTTATTAATTTATTTACTACTGTTTGATCATTTTGTAGGATTACAGGTCCTATGAAATTCTGAATGTAATTTGAATTTATCTTTTTTAACATAATGAATAAAAAGAAGAAAAAATGTTAATTTTAAATTATTTATTTCATACAATGTGAAATTTATAATGTACAAAACTCATTTTATATATTGCTCAGTGAACAAGGTATAATGAGCATGTCAGAATTGCATTAAATTTAAGAGATTTATCGATTTTGTAAGGTTTCTTCATTTGAATTACATATGTAGAGTTGAAATTAGTGTATGTGCCTTTTATTAATATAAAATATAGAAATGAAGTAAAACAATATAAAGTTAGAAATTGACCAAAACTGTTGACTGTCCTCCATTTAATAAATAAAAATAAACTTTCATTTAAGATATTGGCCTCTGTCTTAAACTGTGTAATTTTTTGGTATATGTACTTTACACTTTATGCAATCAAAAGTCACTAGACATATTATAGACGTTTTTTTTCCAGTTATAATGGTAAGAGAGTTAAACATTTTCCTATTGTTCTGACTGTTACCTTGTATAGTTGATTGGGCTTTTTACTAAGTTCTGATAAGCTTTCACAGAAACTGCTTTTTATTCATACTGGTACGTGACAAATAGGGAATGCTTTATCAATTTTGTTTAATTTGCAGCTGATCTTTCAGCTTACACAAAAGCTATTAATTGATGTCTGGGACTTTGGACAAGCCATTTAAGCTATTCTGTATGCATAGCTTTAAAACCTTAGAGACTTTACTTTTTAAGCGAAAATGTTATTGAGATGAAAAGAGAGAAAGAATCTTCCAGGCTGTTGCATTAGGGGAGGGAAATTAAGGAAAACAGCTGTAGATCATTGCATTACATAATTTCTCTATCAGTACAACACATTTGTATAACTACCCTTTACCAGGTATTTGCTACAGTTAAACAAAGGACTGCTAAAATATACAGGGTGTTGTAAAAAACTATCTGATATATGAATTCCTAGCAGGCTATCTGCTCTAAAATGACATTTCAGATATTGCTATTTAAAGGTATGTGTTCAATATTGTGATGATTTAAAACAATTGAGCAGTTAGTAGTTACGATTATGATGAAAGCAATTTTGAAATTTTCGAATGACAACATCCACCTTTTTTCTGCGTGAATTGATTAGCATGTTGAAAAACCATAAATGGCATTCAAACGATACATATATGATGAAAATTGCTGGTGTAAAATGTTTGCAAAGAAGAGAATTATAAAGCACCAATGACAAAGATTTTGTTGTGCCTCCTTTTGAAGACAACAATGCACTGCATGTGGGAGACTGTTGACAGCAATGACAAAGAACTTAACATCACTAGAGAAATTTATCCATGGTTTTTCAATGCACTGATTAGTTTGTACTGGAAAAAGGTGAGTGTTGCCATTTAAAAATTTTGAACTTTTGCTGTGTTGATCTGTTGTTTTAAATCATCTCAATCTTGAGTGCATAGCTATAAATAACAATATCTGCATATGTGAATATTGTTTATGCAAACAATTTTATTAGCACTAAATACCATAAGAATATTTAGAAATTAAATGTTTAATTAAAAACATATTGATAGAAACTCAAATATGTTCAAAAACTGTAAATCTTAGAAATTTTAAACTTGTTATTTTAGCTTATGACCTAAAATAATAAGTTTTTATATGTTACTGGCAATATATGAAAACTGGGATTTTATAGAATACCTATGTACTTTATAGAATGCCAAATGATAAACTGGCAAAGTAGGATATACATCTGCAGTTCTTTTCAAATATCCATACATTTAATACATTCATATGTCCATCTATAATCTATACATTTTTATACACTGTTTTCTTTCGTAAGAAAGACATAAATTTTGTTTTTTATATGTTTAATTTTTTATATATTTTGAATAAAAATTTTTTAATAGCACTCTTTCATTATTTTTTCAAATAACATTTGTATTTTTGAGTTATGCAAGTCTTTTAAATAATAGTCTAATCATGACCTTTATTCAAACTTTGCCTAAATAGCATTTGTCAATGTATGGAATGCCTAGGTATGTTATATACATGCCTAGGGAAAAGATATAATAAGTCCTATATTCCAGACTTTGCCTAAAAACAGTGGGCTTTCTTTAAAATATATAAGTATTCTATAGAATGCTAGTGTTTGATATAGCCAATAACGTATGCATCATACTATTAAGCTCTCTTATTTAAACACATACAGAATTTTTATTTCTCTCTAAAAGCCTGCCGTAGAATTTTTATTATGGTGCAAAGAGTTAAGTTTTGATTATTATATTTCTAAATGAAGGAATGATGAATAAAATTAACATTATTAATTATGTATTACTTTTATTTTATCTTTTATTTTTTTACTATATCGGTTGGCTTATAGTTTTATATCAGTTTGCTGAGAGTAAATATATGAATTATTTCATATTTTCAGCAGTTTTAATTTTTCAGATATTTATAACTTTTTTAAATAGCTTTATAATGTGCAACAGAAATATGAGAAGTAGTAGTGTGTAATAGCTGTAACTGCATCTACTATGTTTCAATAATTTAAAATTAGGATCCTTTTCTTCCTGATGTGAAGTTATGGTATTCAGGTTTTATTACAGGTTATTTACACTTTTCAGTGGAAAGCATTGAAAGTTGAAGTAAAATTTCAAGTATACCATTAGAAATTATTGAATTTTATAAGTTTGAAAACTATAAAGTACTCTACATTAAGTATATTATGCAGCAATAGATGCAACATAATGTAAATGATAGTACAAATTCATCTGTTGCTGTTACAATCATGTTTCACATCTAAACTAATCATGTTCATTAAAAAAATAGTATCGAGTAAGATATACTAGATTATGATCAGCATAATATATAATTATTTTCTGAAAAAATGTTAGAGGTGAATTGAAATTTGATCCTTTTTTATCAGAAATGGTTCATATAATCATTAAAGAATTATAGCAGTATGAGATCAATTTCTCAGTACAGAAAATATTAAAAGAATGTCAAACAAAAGTGTATACCTACATGAATTCATATAGGTATTTAATTCTGAAAAGAAGCAAAACTCATAGCAGTCTCTTCTGAGCTTTAAAGATGCTAAGAATTTTAGAATAGAAAAGTTGGATAATTTATTTTAATGGAAGGAATGCATGCAAAAAAGCCATTGATTTTTACATCATTAACATCATCCAGGACAACTGCACCTCAGCTATCACTACCAAATAACTTGAGATTTATTATTTTATAACTATTATATTATTGCTAACAATTAAAGATCACTTAAATTGGAAAACATGCATAAATTTTTATCATTTTCTTTCTTTTGCTATAAAGAAAATAAAATCACCTGATATCAGAAAAGGAACAATTAATTTATAATGGAATCATTCTCACGTAGAATAAACAAGTCAAGTAACTGGACTAGATCAAACTAGTGAGGGCTAGATCTCAGAAATTTATGCATAGAGAACTAAGAAGGTTATCTCTAATTTTCTATAAGTGCAATTCTGGCAGATTCTTTTGAATAATGATCCAATGCTTAGGAAAGAATAAATTATTACAAAGTAAAAAATGCAAAGATTTTGTTTCCATCTTAATTGCAGTAACTTAATTAATAGAAGAGTATTCTGAACTACCACAATTGATAAACATATCTCTAATTCATCAGTAACAGAAATTTTTAATTAACATATAACTTCATGTGTAATTGGAGACAAACTACCATTGTTTTCTGGCTTTAGCTATTCAACTACAGGTCAGCCTAAAAGAGGGAAGTCTGATCCCATCAGTTTGCATCATTTTTCAAAATTAATGCTAATTTGTGATTGTAATTAACAAAAATAATATTTTATATATTTATATTTAATATAATTTATTTATGGATGAACTTAAGTTTGATGTGCATGTTACCAAAAAAAGGTTAGTTTCTGATAAAAGTAGTACTTGTCAGATTCTTTCAAAATTTTTAGAAAATTTCTTTAAAATGAATGCCAATCTAAGAGAGGATTTTAGACAATTTTAAAGCTGAAGTATTTCACTAAATTTGTATTTGCTAATGATATTTAGAAGTTATACATGACTTATGAAAGATTACTTTGGTAGAATGTTAAAATGCTGATATTTTGTATGAATTCAGATAGAAAATTTGTTTGAATTTTTTTCCAAGAGTTTTCAGCTACATTAAAAATTTCTTTCTATTAACATGTTAAATTTAATGAACTTCAATTATAGTGTTATGTACAAGAATTAAGGCACTCACAGCTCTCCTTGATTCCAAGCCCATTTTTGAATAAAAATCTGTGGTTGTCTTTTAAAATGAACCCACACACAACAAAAATAATTATTCATCACTTAAACACTATGCACCTAAATGTTATGCATTAGAATATGCAAACAAATACTTCCTTACTTTTAGTAAATTGAATTATGAACTGAAAACCTATTTTATTTGCTAATTAATGTTCAGTATAAAATGGAAAAACAAAACAAAACTCAAAGAAGTTTTAACTTTCTTGTGAGATCTTGTAGCCAATGAAAACTAAAAAGACCTAGTTTACCCATTAGTGGCAATCCAAATAAGGTCTCGTACGCGTGGAGCCCACCAGCGGCCGAGCGGTAAAGTCGCTGAACACTGGTAGTTCGGTCCGAGGTTCGAATCCCGTGAACGGGCTGGCTGCATGGGCGTTTTCGTGGTTTTCCCCATGTGTAACGTGTATACGAGCCAGTTTCCCTTAGAAAGTCCTCCACGAAGGCATCCCTCCTCTTAGGCAGATAGCCCTCGAGGCTTTGCCATAATCACACACACACACGTACGCGTGGAACGCTCTCGTACGCTCTTATCTGCACCTGAGGTGCTGGTAAGAGCGCAATGAAGTTCGCGCTGAGACCAGCCTAAGTAACAGTATCACAGGACAAGTACTGTTTTTGATAAAGCTCCACAAAAAGAAGTCTCGTGGTATCATGCCTGGAGAGATTGAAGGCCGTCTCAACAATGCTTCATCATCAAGACCCATGCATGTTATCCAGCGCTTTGAAGATGCTCATTCCGATACCCTCTCTGATCATTATGGAAATGGGGGTGGGGAAGCTTCATCTGTTGGAAAATGTAATCTTTCAGCAAGGAAAAGTGGCCCATAAAGCTACCTTCTGCATATGGCAGCAAAGAGCTCAACTTTGGAGAATCTTTTTCGTGTTCAGCGATTCGCCGAGGGTGTTCTAAACTCCATATTCGATATTATGTCTGTTTACTTTTCCGTTAATATGGAAGGTCACCTCATCTTAGAAGACTATTCTATCCCTAATCTCACCATTTTCTAGGAATCCTGTTTGTCACCTTCAGTGAGTACTTGCACAAGTGTCACCTTGTAAGCCTTG